GATGCACAGGTATCCTCAGAGGGAGAGTCTGTGATGTTCTTTTTTTCCTACTGACATCGCTTTTTCAGTCCTGAATGTCTGGTGGCTCCTGCTTATAACCTGACAACCCCTTCCCTGCCAAGTTTTATGTCCATTTTCAAGCCACTTCTCCATCCTGTGATAGGAGACAACTGGTGGAGAGGAAGGTGCACAGGATGAGGAGTCTAAGAATTCTGGATTGCGCTGGTGCCCCCTGCTGTAAAGTCAGGTATCTTCCCAATGGGGATTTTTTTTTCCCAATCTGTAAATTGGGATAGTTGACTAATTCACTGTTGAAATCAATGTCACTTTATCTTCCTTAAAATAACTGCTGAAAAGCACAACAGCATGGAGATTTTAGCAGGTTGTGTACATCTACAACTCCTTCTCATAATGAGTGGAGGTGTGCAAGAAACTGTTTCCGATAAAATCGACCAACACCTTTGTCTGAAATTCTGAAGTGTACATCATCTCTTTCTCTCTACTTGCTGGATAACAGCAAAACCAAAACAGGCAGACCAGATGTTATCTGGATACGTAAGTCTCAGAATACCAGGCCAAAGAACTTTTTATCACCAAGTGGAAGAAGTTTACCTCATTTGAAGTATAACAATAAGAGCTAAGTAACATGACCTGCTGGGTACTGTCCTGACATTTTGTGCCAAGTCCTATAATCTTCCAAACAATGTTGTGAGGTGGGTACTCATTTTATTATGAAGAACATCGAAGCCCAGGGAAGTCAAGAGAAGCTGGCCAATGCCCCACAGCTTGCAGAACTTGGGAAGCTGCACTCTGATGCCAGGTCGACTTCCTACTCCTCGCTATACCACCTTTGAGTGAGAATCACTGCTTACTGTGGCTAGTCACTGACAACAGCAGGACTCCGGTCTCTGTAATCCGAATTGCCTGATTATTCTCCAATTAATGGCTCATTAATTGCCTAATTCATGAATATTTCCACTGAGTAGATACCTACGTACCAATACCAACCAAGACTTGCTATAAAGTGTCACCAAAGTCCCAAGTGTTCCAAATGCTTCCCATCAGCCCAAATGAGCAACTGGGCAATAAAGCATGTTTTAGCATCTAATGTGGGAAAAACATGTGGCATGTTACTCCAGGAAGTCTTCTTATTTCATTATCCCCCAGCAAATTTTACAACTATCCTGAGAGACAGCTGGGATCACCTCCATCCTAAGAGGCAGCTTCACATAACGGTTAGGTTAGAAACTGGAACCAGGGTAGTTGGGTCACCTCAGGCCCCTCGCCAGATCTCCCTGCGCTGCAGTTTCCTTATCTATCCATTAGGAATGAGAAGATTCCTGGTCCTTGGGTTATTTAAAGCTTAAATTAAGGATGTAAAGTGCTGAGCAGGGTACTGGACTCTTTGTAAGTACTCCAAAAAGGTTAATTCCTCTTACTTTACTACTACGAAAGGCGACTTGCCAAACATCACATAGTAGTAGCTGGATTCATTCAGGTATTCCACTTCCAAATGCCATCCTCTTCCCTTAACAGAATTCCACCCTTTCTGTTACTGAAAGCATGTACCGAAACACTCAATGAGTAGATTTCCTGGTAGAAACTTGCTCAAAGATCCCCAAGGTAGCGAGTACTGTCTAATGAGTACTGTCTAGCGAGTACTGTCCCCGTTTTGCATTGATGAAGCTGAGGTTCTGAGACTGCGCCTCAGTCGCTACACTAGACTAGTGAACATTCTGTCACAGCGAGTCCTAAATAATACTTACAGTTCCTGACAACACCCTTCAATTGTGCTATTCTTTCAAGTGCCATCTAAAAGACATAAACTGTGATTTCCTTGCTTTGTTTGCTTTATTAGCTTGAGAAACGGATTAAATCGCAGCAAAAACAAAATGTTTGACTTGAGTGAATTATCAAAATGAAATGCTGCTCAATTACATTCACCCGCCTGCAGGGTGGCTCGGAGCCTCCCAAATCCGCCAAGCGCAATATCTGAGATGGGTGCTCTCGGCTCCAAAGCCAAACACCCACCCGTTGAAGAAAAATCACTTTGCAGGGCAAAGGGGAGCGAAGCAGTGCATTCCTCCCTGGTCTGGGCGGAGAAGATGAACAATAAGTGATATGATCTCTTCCCAGCAGCCTCGCACAATGGTGTGTCGTGCAAATGAAACATACTGCGAAACAGCTTGTGAGATGAGCTTCATCAACAATAAGTAATTTTTATTCAGATTTTATTGTTGAATACAATGAAGATGATTAAATGTTTCAGATATGCCTATTCAGACCTTACGCAAACCATCAAAAAAAAATAAAAAAGGAACCCTACTAAAAATCATCTTCGTAAATCTGCTTTGGGAAGAGATTTCATTGCCAAGTTGATGTGCAGAACTGAATCCGCACTTGAGAGCCGCACTGCTCCGGAGAAGACAGTGACAGCCCGCCTGCACTTCCTACCTTGGCCTCTTCTCTCATCCTAGCCATCCTTGCAGGGATGCCAAATAGTTACAGCGTCAGTCCTTTCAAAGCTCTGCATTTTGAACTTCCTAAACCTCTAAGAGGGCCTCTGTGTATGGAAAAGAACAATAGCGCTTCAAAAGCCATGTCTGCGAGTTCTTCAATACTCTATTTGAATGCTAGGATTTCAATCAAGGACATCAGCAGACAATTTCTGATTGCTTAGAAGTTGACTTTTTACAGCTTTGATTAGGTCGCCCCTCTCAATAGGAAATTGAGAAAATCTCTGATCCCTTTGCAGTTCCAGCATTGTCCCCACACCCTGACAAGACAGGGAGGGAAAGGGACGGGAAAGAGCTGGGGGGACTGTAACCTCTCGCCCACCCCCAGGTCTCTTCTTGCCTATGCAATCCAGGGTTCCATCAGAATCACTCATCGCTGAGATAATAAAAACAATGGGTGCTAATTCAGGGGGTGGGGACGGCTGATAATTTTATGGATTTCCCCACGACCTATAATTGGCACATAAATGTACAAACGTGAACCGGGTAATTAGGGGGTTCTGAACGTAAGCCACCTTTAATTTGTATGATTACTTGAAAACATGTTAAGTGTTGTGAAGTGTCAAAGGAACCCCCCACAAGGCCTTTATTCTAAACCATCAACATTGCAAAAGTGCGTCTAGTGGGCCAGCGGGAGGGGAGCAAAGGGAGGCTGAGGCGACACACGGCGAGCCCCGCCGAGGGAGCACCGCCGCGTCGGTCCCCGCCGGCTCGCTGGGAGCAGCGGGCCAGCGCCAGTCTCAGCGGAGGGCTCGGCCGCGCGGCCCCTCGGGGCCCAGAGAAAGGCGCCCCCGCCTCCGCCAGCTCTTGACTCCTTCCTCTCCCTAACCCAGCAGAACCCAGGCACAAGCCAGCTTTGAGGCGCATACGTAGCCGACGAGCCCCGCGGGCGCGCCCCCAGCCTCGGCGACACGCAGAGGAGCGCACGGACGCCCGCGCCGTGGCGCTCTCCACGCCGCGCCGAGAGCCCCCGCTTCCCCGCCCCCACCGCGGGCTGCCGCGCGCCGGCCGGGCGGAAGTGTCCCGCAGACCCCCAACAATGAAGACTTGTGTGGTGCCAGGGGTGGGGGTTGGGGGCGGTCTATCCGGAGGAAAACCTACAAGGTCTGGCGAGTCCGCGAGGAGGGAACGCCGCGGCCAAGTGGCGTGGGGGCTCGGCCAGGCAGCGTTCTCTCGTGCCCAGCCGCCCTCCCACCCACCAAAAGAAAAACAATAAAGAAAAAGCGCCTGAAAAAGTGCGGAGGGAAGCCGCGCCCTCCCACCGCGGGTCGCGATCACCCGCAGCGCACACAGCCAGCCCGGCGGTGCGTCCCGGCTGCGGGGAACCACCCGGGCTTTGAATTTTACTTTCTCACTCCCCCGGTGGCCCCGGTGGCCCCGTTCCGACGCCGCGACACCACCTCCCCCCACCCCCCATCTCGGACTCCCCGACTCCGGCTTCTCTTCAACGCTTGAGAGCTCCTTCTATATGGTTCCTTTATAAGCCCAACAAACCGGGACTGAAAGTTTCCCCAGCAAGAAAGAAACTGAGCTCCGCGTTCCCGGCACAGCGTCCGGTCCGGGGCAGAGAAGCAAGAGGGGCGCGCGCGGCGGCCCCGGGGAGCGCCACGGAGGGACCCGAAGAAGCGCTGGGTCCGAGGACGCAGGAGCAGGCTCCGAGGGTGTCCGCGCAAAGGGCTGCGGTAGCGGGATAGATCGGGTTGTAGGAGAGGCAGAACTGCGGTGCTGCTAGGGAGGAGGAAGTGAGAACCGGTGTTGGCCCAGCGCTGGGGAAGAGCAGCCGGTCCCGGGGGCTCCGCTAGTGAGGCGGGGAAGTGGTCTGGGGACAGAAGGCAGGTTCTGGAGTGGAAGAAGGAAAGCTCGGAATGGGCAGGGAGAGACGGGTCTTGGGAGGACAAGCCTGGAGAGAGGCTCGCGCGTGGTCACAAGTAGGGAGCTGCGGCGGGGGCGGGAGGAAAGAGGCGCAGGAGGGAGAAGCAAAGGTTGCCCCTTTCCTTGCAGCAAGTGGAGGGAGAGCGCGCAAAACTGCTGCCTGCAGTCGCCATCCCCGCAGCACCCCTTGCCCAACTCCCCAGAGGCGGGCCCCGGGGACCCTCCTTCGCGCCCGGCGTCCGGGACCCAGCGGAGCCACCCCTGCGGCGTCCAGGCGCCCTGTCCCCGTGGAACACTTGACGGCGCTGAACTCCAGGACTGCAGCGAGCCCCCCGCCCCCTCCCCCGCCCGCCTCGGCTCACCTCGGCTCGCCGGGAGCATCCTCCTCCGCTGCCGCAGCCGCCAGGAAGCGGCTCCCCATGCCCGGCGGGCGGCGGCACTCAGGCGCGCTCTCCAGCCCGGGGAAGCCCCCGCGAGCGCGGCACTGGGTCCATCCTCCCCGGGAGCCACGGGCCCCGCGTCAGCGCAGGGGGAGGAGACCGCCCCCCGCGCAGACCCGCCTCCTCCCGCGGCCCCCGCCCCGCCAGCCCGGCGCCCTGCGGCGCCTCTCACCTGCTGGCTCCCGGCCGCCAGCGGCGCGCACCTCGACCCGGCCTCGCGACTCCGGCTCCCGCCGGGGCGCTCTGTGCGCCGCCCGAGCGCTCCGAGAGCTTAGGCGAGTAGCGGTGGCGACGAGCAGGAGGAAGAGCGATCGGGGGAACCGCGGCTCGCAGTCGCGCCTCTGGAGCCCCTGCGCTCACTCCCCATCCCGGCGGGAAGGGGGAGAGCCGAGAGGAGAGCACGGGGTCCCCGCCCCAGCTGCGCCCGCGAGGCGGGGGGAAAGAGGGCAGGGTTTCACCAAGTAGCCAGTGTTTGCGCCACCGTCACTGCCACCAACACCATGCCCGCCCAGCAATCCCCGTTTTTCTCTTGGGCGCTACTGTTTGAGCGCAGCCTCCAAACACGCACATACCCAGACATACAGCGTGCCCGTGGGTGAAACCAGGCGCGGCGCTTCCGCGACTGCGTGTTGCCCCCGCGCCCCTTGGCAGGAGGGGGCGCTCGTCCTCAGCGGCCGGCAGCCTGGCGTCTTGGCTGAGGTTTCCCCGGTAAAGCTGGGCAGGGGGGAGTGCTAAGACGTGCACTGGTCTCGTTTTCATCAGTCCTGGGGAGGCGCCGAGGTCCCTGAGGGTGTAGTGGTCCCGATTCCCCCCAGCTCTTCCCCACCTCGTTCATAGCAGGTCTGCGCGTGGACAATCCTCAGGTTAGAACCGGTTCGAGAGAAGGTTCCACTGAAAACATAATCAATTGCGTCCTACCTCTACTACTAGCTTATGAAAATTCTCGGAACACCAAATCGCAGAAAACACTGGGTCGATTTGAAAATCCTTCCACCCTGAGACTAGACTCAATTCCAGTAAATGCCTGTTGTGGCATTCGCATCTCCAGAGGCCTGAATGCCAGGGGTGTGTGTGTGTGTGTGCGCGCGCGCGCGTGTGTTGTGGGTGGGGGTGGGAGAAGGGAAGGGAGATAGGTTTGTGGATCAGTGCTGCAATTCTGAAGCCAGAAAAAGAAGAGGAAAGGAAAAGGCAGGCAACAGCTGCTTGGAAAAGTTTACTTGTATTCCTTTTAGGGGCCACACCGCTGTCCTCCAGCCGTGTAATAGTAAAGCTAAATGTGGTGGATTTGGTTTTTTGGATGTTTTCCCCCCTAGTAGTTTCTGCCACTCACCCATGAAAATTTAATGAAGCATTTAGGGTTATTACCTCGAGAGTCAATGGGCTAAAAATATTTAGCCTAATGCACTCCTTGTGGAGCCAATAGGTCCACGGCTGGTACACACACAGTCACCCGGAGACCCTCCCTTGCTCCACAAAATGCACGACCCATTAAACTGATTCTGTAATAACAGCTTCCGTACAAACCGAGGCCTGAGCAAACGGAGGCTGTCAGGCACCTCCTGAAAAGATAGCAATTTACATGGAGACAAGGAACAAGTGTGAGGTCCGTGGCAGTATGCAATCTTGAGAGAAGAGTTCATCAGAGGAAACACCCAACAAGGTGCGTGCGGGAGGTGAAGGGCATTTCTGATCCCTAAGCCATCCTGGATGGGAACACTCTAATGGAGGGGGCTGAGGAAATGGGCTCCAGTTTCTCCAACTTCTCCAGTGTCCTGGAGAGTGAGAAAATGGCCATCAGTCCCTCTTCTACACTCAGCAGGAAGTTCAGGCTGCCCAAGCAACTCAATTAAAATGAGTAAGAATGGGCATCTAGCACAGCCATTAAGGCACCATTTGGGATGCCTGCATCCTGTATCAGACTCCCAGTGCTTGAGTCCTGGCTGCACTCCTAACTCCAGATGTGCACCTTGGGAGGCAGCAGGTGATGGCTCCAGTGGCTGGGTATCTGCCACCCACTAGAGAGACTGGGACTGAATAGTTCCTGGCTCCTGGATTCTTCTGGCTCAGCTGTGGCTGTTGCACATATTTAGGGAGTAGGCCCTCAGATACAGGATCTCTCCTCCTCTCACTCTGCCTTTCAAATAAATATTTTTAAAATTAATGAAACATTTCCATAATTTCCATAACCTGATCTGTAAAGACACAGCTCAGGACTCTGAACTTAAGAGGGACAAATCTGAGGAGACATGGCTGAAGCCAGGGGAGAGGATGTAGAAAACAGACACCGTAGATGGCTGCACGAGTGTCATCCCCTGGTAACGGAATGCAGTTTTAACTTCTCATGGATGACCAAAAGCACCTGAACACGTCTCAGCGCTTGGAGGAGCGCCTGGGGGGCATTAAAGTCACATGAATTTCACAGCTCTGCATATGAGGCCTTCACCTGCCTCTCACCTTGTTCTGGTTCCAGTTGTTAGTAGGATTATAGATTTTGGAAAGGAACTGGGGACACTGCATTGCCTAGTAAAAGTGTAAGAGGTTCCTGTGAAAGTCTCTCTCTATTCCATGCTGGACAAAGTCCACCATGGAAACTGGGCAAATTCCCATGAAATCCAGTGGGGCCAACAAGCCCCAGCTGTTCCCAGCTCCAGGCTGGAGCATGATATATGGATTGTAACCACTCACAAGCTGCCCACCACGGACCTAATGGTTTTCTGGGTTAAACCAAACACGATCTCAAAGGAATATTTTAAATTATTATACTAACCATATCAAGAGCTAGCTCATCAAAAAGTTGGGGTGCAGGTTTTTAAAATCTTTTAAAATATCATTAAAAATTAAAATATCATTTAGAATCTTTTAAAATGCCATTCATGTTAAATGCAGCATACGGGGAAACTTAATAAAGATTGCTTTATCATTTACTCTACGAAACATAAAAGTAATCAGAATAGTGTAGATAGCTTATTATGTCCCAGGAACAGTTTTGAGCGTTTTCATATACATCATTTAACCTTCACAATAGCTCAGCAAGAGGAGGTACCCTTAGTTGTATGGGATACGCAGTGAAATCACATTGGAATGATTTATTTCTGACCAGCTAGCTCTCTGCTCCTCAGAATTCTCTGCTCTGCGGTGGGAGTGTTTGGTGAAGCAGTTACAACACTGTTCAGGTCACCTGATCCCACACCGGAGTGCCTGGGTTTGAGTCCTGGCGCCACTGCTGCTGGCGAACATGATGGGAAGCAGCAGGTGATGGCTCAGGTGCTTGGTTCCTTGTCCCCTATGTGTGAGACCCTAATTGAGCTCCTGAATCCTGGCTTCTGCCTGGCTTCAGCACAGTTGTTGCAGGCATTTAAGGAATGAACCAGTGGGTGAAATATCTATCTCTGTCTCTCTGTCCCTGTCTTCTGTCAAATAAAATAAGAAAAATAATTTTAAAATATTATAAAAACATTACAATGGTGATGGGTTATACTTCCTTTCTGAGATTGCCCTGAGCCTTAAGTGAGATAATGCTTATTGTTAGATGTGGCTGGCACTGAAGTCACCTGGTAAACATGGATTATCTTCCCAGAATCATTTGAAAATCTATTCATTTTAATTAAACATTTGTGCAGTCCATTCTGTATATCAGACTCTGTGCTAGGCATTGGGAATAATGGTGATAAATTAGAAACAGGTGCTGCCTTGAGGAGCTGGAGTCAATCGAATAAAAGACCTGGGATGGGTAACACGCAGATGGCCATAAAGAAGTTTTGCTGAATTTTACATAGTGCATCCCTATGCACATGACTCCCTAGACATTCAAAGAGGCAGCCTATGTAAGTGCTGACCATGATTGAAAGCATAACTATGTGACAGCAATCATGGACCCTGCTAGCAATAACTGCTCCTTCAAGGAAAGTAGACCCATTTGTGGATTACAGTTTCTAAAATTCTGCTCATTCCTACAATTGTTTGAAATATACCTGTCATTGGATGTGGTATAAGAAATTGTTTCTGCTATGAGTTTTTCTATTTTCTTTTTTTCTTATACTTTCATGAGATTTAGTTAGCACATACTATATATGTTTAAAGTATACAAAGTGATATTTTGACATACCTATCCATCAGGAAAAGGTTTACAGTCAAGCTAATTGACATATCCATCACCCCACATAGTAGTAGTTTGCTGCAGTGAGAACATTTGAGATCTACTTTCTTAGCAAACTTCAAATATCCATGGATATTCAGATCTTTCTCATCTTATAACTGAAAGTTTATACCCTTTGACTCAAATCCTCCCACCACCCCACCCATCATCCCTAGCAACCACCGTTATACTCTGTTTTTACAACTTCGATTTCTTTAGAGTATATATTTATGAGATCATGCAGTATTTGTCTTTCTGTGTCTGACTTATTTCACCTAGTGTTAAGACCCTCTAGGTTCATCCTTGTTACAAATGTCAGAGTTTCTTAAGCTTGAACAGTATTCCACTATAGATATATATAAACATGTATTCTCCATCCAGTCAACTGTGAATAGACACTATGTTGATTCCATATCTTGGCTATTAGGAATAATACTACAGTGAACTTCCACTTTCTATGGGAGTGCAAATATCTCCTTGAGATATTTATTTCATTTCCTCTGGATATGTACCCAGAAGTGAGGTTGTTGGGACATCTGGTAGTTCTATTTTTAGTTTTTGGAAGAATGCCATACTGTTTTCCATAATGAGGGTGCTAATTCATATTCCTACCAACAGGGTACAGGCTTCCTTTTCTCTGTATCCTTGCCAACACTTATTGTTATTTGACTTTTGGAAAATAGCCATCCTAACAGGTGTGAGATGACATCTCACTTTGGCTTTGGTTGCACCTCCCTGATATTAGTGATGTCGAGCACTTTTTCCTATACCTGCTGGCCATTTGTTTATCTTCTTTGGAAAAATGATCAAGTCCTTTGCCTACTTTTTAATTAAGGAATTTGTTTGCTTGTTTGCTGTTTTATATTGAGTTTCATGAATTACTTGTATATTTTTGACTTAGCCCCTTATCAGACATAAGGTTTGCAAACATTCCCTCTCATTTCATAGACTGTCATTTACTTTTGCTGATTACTTACTTTGCTGCACAGAAACTTCAGTTTTATGTAATTCCACTTGCTTACTTCTCTTTTTGCTGCCTGGGCTTTTGGTGTCATATCCAAAAGGACAATGTCAGGGAGCTTTCCTTCTCAGTTTTCTCCTAACTTTTTTAAAAAAAGATTTATTTATTTATTTACTTGAAAGGCATAGTTACACAGAAAGAGGGAAAGAAACAGAGAAAGAGACCTTCCATCACCAGTTCATTCCTCAAATGACCACAATGGCCAGGGCTGGCAAAAGCCTGGAACTCCATCTGGGTCTTCCATTCGAGTGGCAGGAGCCCAACCGCTTGAAACTTCTAGCATTTTAACAGGTTCAGATATTACTTTAAGTTTTTAATCCATTTTGGGGTTATTTCTGTATATAGTGTGAGGTAAGTGTCCAAGTTCATTGTTTTGCATGCAAATATTAAGTTTTCCAACATAATTTATTGCAGATACTATCCTCTCCTCTTTGTATATTCTTGGCACATCTGTCAAAGATCACTTGGATATTGACGCGTGAGTTTATTTCTGTGCTCTCAACTCTGATCCATGGGTCTATAGGTCAGTTTACCATACAATTTGATTTTGATTACTGTAGCTTTTTAATGGATATACTTTGAAATCATGTAGGGTTATGCCTCCAGTTTTTTTTAAAAGGTTTTTATTTATCTACTTGAGATAAAGAATTACAGACAGAGAGAAGGAGAGACAGAGAAAGGTCTTCCATCAGCTGGTTCACTCCCTAGATGGCCATAACAGCTAGAGCTGGGCTGATCTGAAGCCAGGAGCCAGGAGCAAGGAGCTTCCTCTCGGTCCCTCAAGTGGGTGGAAGGGCCCAAAGATTTGGACCATCTTCCACTGCTTTCCAAGACCATAGTAGAAAGCTGTATCAGAAGAGGAGCAGCTGGGACTTGAACCATCACCCATATGGGATGCTGGAACTGAAGGCAGAGGCAAATGCCTCTACACCAAAATGCCACTCCCAGGTTTGTTCTTCTTAAGATTTCTTTACCCACTCACAGTCTTTGGTAATTATGTATGAATTTTAGAATGTTAATGCTTTAAAATATTAGAATTTTGATAGAGATCATATGGAATCTGTGCATAGCCTGTGTGGTATGGACACTAACAGTCCTAATTTTTCCAATCCATTAACTCAGATGTCTTTTGATTTATTTGTTTTTTGCAATTTCTCTTATAAGCTTTATAGTTTTCAATGTAGAGCTCATTTACCTCTGGTTAAATTTATTCCTAAGTATTTTATTCTACTTATGATAATATAAATTGAATTATTTTCTTAGTTTTGAAGTTTTCAAACACAATTATAATATCCACTATTAAATAGTCTACAATGCTTGGATATGGAAGGAATATGATAATGTTTCCATAAATATAAAGCTCTCAAGTTAATACAATGTTTAATTATGGTCAGGAGATACACTCCTACCAAGCTTTTAGAGACATTATGTGCTCAAAGGATACTATACATAGAATGCACAAAGTGTCAAAAGTTAATAGTGAAGGGATATAAGCCTCTCCCTGTCCCTTTCATTCAAGTCAATATTCATATTCAGATTCTGTATTTTAAGAAGAAAGTTCTATTTATTTATTCACATAATGTCTACTGATTGCTTACTTAATAATAAGGACAGTGTTAGGCGTTGGCACAGAAGGAAAACAGAAAAAGAAACAAAAAGGGTCCCCTCAACTCCTAGTCAAATGAAAGAAACATGCTATCACATTGCTTTCTGGTAAACACTTAAGCACAGGATGCTAAGGGAGCACCAAATTGGGCATTTAACCCACATGGAATGTTAAGAGGATTGCATGAAGGAAGCTTTGTTATTTTAAAAGATAAGTGCATAGGCTATAAATGAGGGGGAGGGCAAAAGGAAAGAGGGAGACATAGGGAAGGAGGGAGAGAGAAAGTTAGAAAAGGTAAGGCAGAGATTTCTCTATAGGGGAGAAGAAATCATGAGCAAATTACAAAGGATCTTATTTGTCATGCTCAGGATTTGGGAATAGTGTAATCCACTAATAAAAAAAATTTTGCAAATATATTTGAAGCACATTTCAAACACTTCCCTTGTGTGCCTTGGACACAAATATAAGATCCAATTGCTATTCTGAGATCATACGAAAACAATGAAACATATTTCTATGGCAGGGCTTCATGAGAACTGCAGTTCCCGTTTTTAATGATGCTGGCTTTGCTTGGTTCCAGGAAAAGGTTGTGTGGAGGTACAGCTTAACTTGACTCTGGTTTATGGCAGCTGGAAATAGCACTCTTTTTATTTTCCTGAGGAGGAAGTGGAGGAGAGTAGCAACACTTGCAATCATAGTCATGCCACCAATCTACTCTTGGGAGCTAAACACAGTAGAATCAAAGTAGAAAGCTAATTTGATTGTCAAAGGGCTCTTATGTTCCAATAGAAATCCCCCAATTTGTTTTTTTCTCATAAAGTAGAGCTAAGGTGAGGTTAGTGATTTGAAATAGGAGTAGACCAGAAGCATCAGAAAATGAGTATCTGATGCCTATAGAACGACAGAAGCAAAAAAGAATCACCATGGTTTATGACAGAACTGTAGGGTATTTTGTGGCTTCTGTATTAAAGGGATGATAGATACATGTTGTTTGCCTCAGAGACTTTTCCTTTAAATATTAAAATTCATTTACAACATCCTCATACAAAATACTTAACAAAAGATCTAATTAGATTTGTATACTAAAACTTAGAAAACTTTGATGAAATAAAGGGAGAAGCATACCATGTTCATGGTTGGGAAAACTCAATATTGATAAGATTCTCTCCAAATTTAGCATAATTCCAATGAGAAATCAAGCATGTTTTCAAGAAATTGACTCACTTATTATAAAATATATGTGATAATGTGAGGTACTTAGCCTGGTCAAAATGATCCTGAAAGGAAGAGCAAAGTTAGAAAGCTTTCCTGATATAGCTATAGTAATCCAAACAGTATAGTATTGGCACAAAAGACTGAAAAATTGATCAATAGGACAGAATAGAGAATCTGAAAATAGAGCAAGTCATACACAGTTACTTGATTTTCCTCCCAGTGGTGCCAATGCAGCTCACTGAGAAAATTAAAGGTTTTAAAAGATGATACTGGGGCCGGTGCTGTGGCACAGCGGGTTAACACCCTGGCCTGAAGCTCCAGCATCCCATATGGGTGCCAGTCTGAGAGCTAGCTGCTCCTCTTCTGATCCGGCTCTCTGCTATGGCCTGGGAAAGCAGTAGAAGATGGCCCAAGTCTTTGGGCCCCTGCACCCACGTGGGAGACCCAGAAGAAGCTCCTGGCTCCTGGCTTCGGATAGGCACAGCTCCAGCAGTTACAGCCAATTGGGGAGTGAACCATCGGATGGAAGACCTCTCTCTCTCTCTCTCTCTCTGCCTCTCCTCTCTGTGTAACTCTGACTTTCAAATAAATAAATAAATTTTTAAAAAATGATACTGAAACAACTGGATAAATATTTTGACAAAAATGAGCCTCAACATCATGCTCAAAAAAAAAAATAGAGAGTAAAAGGAAATGGTAATAGTTCTACAGGAGATGCTTGGAGAGTCTCTTTGTGATTTGTAGATATGTATAATTTTTAAGAGAGGTTACCTGAACATAACACAAAAGAATTATTAAATTATACTTGGCCCAAATTTTTAAATGTGTTGCACAAAAGACACCATTAAGAAAATTAAGTGCTAAACTAAAACCTGGAGAAAATATTTACTATATATATATATATATATAGAGAGAGAGAGAGAGAGAGAGAGAGAGAATGTATATAATGACAAAGGATTTGTATCCAGAAACACACTTTAAATCCTAGTAATTAATAAAAAAAAAAAGACAAGCAACCTAATTAAAACGGAAGAAAAAGACTAGAACAGATACTTTAGAAAAGAAGATATATTAATAGGAACATGACAGGGTGCTAAACATCATTAATTATGAGGAATATGCAAATAAAACCACAATGAGTTACTACTTTACATTCAATAAAATGTCTAAAATTTTTAAAACTGACAACATTAAATTACTGGTGAGGTTGTGGAGCTTTCATACTTTGCTGGTGAAAGTATAAGACGGCATTATCTTTTGAAAAACTACTTGGCACTTATCTGGTTAAACATGCACCTACTCTATGGATACTTGTAGGTATTCCACTCCTAGGTATCACACACACTAGAAATTCAACAGCAGCTTTATTCATAATAGATTAAACTGAAAACAATTCAGGTGTCTACACACAGTAGACTGGATAAACAAATTATAGAATATTCATGCAGTAGATAGCTATTAAGCATGAAATAACATCACTACTGACTTATGCAGCAATAGGATGGAATCTTAGAAACATATCTGGTGAAAGAAGAGAAGTCAGGTACCAAAGTTGACATTATTATGATTCTATGACAATCAAGAAGAGGCAAAACCAATCTACACTGAGAAAAATTAGAATGCTTGTTGCTTTGGTGGTGGGCAGTTGCCTGGAAAGGGGTACAATGAAATTTCTGGGATAATGACATTTACTGTATTTTTAGTCTTGGGTATAAAGACAAATGCATTTGTCAACACCAATCAAGGGGCTGGTGCTGTAATGTAGTAGGTAAAGCCACCACCTGCAATACTGGCATCCCGTATGGGCACCAGTTCATGTCTGGCTGCTCTGCTGTGGCCTGGGAAAGCAGTAGAAGATGGCCCAAGTTTTTGGGCCCCTGAACCCATGTGGGAGACCTGGAAGAAGCTCCTGGCTCCTAGCTTCAGATCAGTGTAGCTCTGGCCATTGTGGCCATCTGGGGAGTGAACCAGCGGATGGAAGACCTCTCTTTCCCTCTGCCTCTGCCTCTCTGTAACTCTGCCTTTCAAATAAATAAATAAATATTTTTAAAAAAAGAAACAGAACAGTAATTCTAGAAATTACAGGCCTCACTAATTGGATTTGGTGAAAGATCTTAAAAAAAAAAAAAATCAAGCTACTCTTAAGATCTGTGCCTTTCAATACATATCAATTGGGCTGGTGCTGTGGCTCACTAAGCTAATCCTCCGCCTGCGGCGTCGGCACTCCGGGTTTTAGTCCCGGTTGGGGCGCTGGATTCTGTCCCAGTTGCTCCTCTTCCAGTCCAGCTCTCTGCTGTGGCCCAGGAAGGCAGTGGAGGATGGCCCAAGTACTTGGGCCCTGCACCCTCATGGGAAACCAGGAGGAAGCACCTGGCTCCTGGCTTCGGATCGGTGCAGTGTGCCACCCGTGGCGGCCATTTAGGGGGTGAACCAATGGAAGGAAGACCTTTCTCTCTGTCTCTCTCTCGCTGTCTAACTCTGCCTGTCAAAAAAAAAATACATATCAATTTAGTTTAATTTTACCACTTTTAAAAAGAGCAGACACAGAGAAAATGGAGCAATGGAGCAGCTGACCAGTTCCCACAGCTCTTATGGGCTCTATTTTATTTTAGTCTAATCCCGATATTTGCACTAATAGTTCAAGTCCTGAATAAAATGTTATACTCTCACTAAACTAATTGTCATGCTCTATATTGTGCCTGACAATGCCAAAGCAACAGCTGTGTGAAAAGTCTCCTTTAAATTATATTAATGCAAGAATGGTTAGGCCATCCTTCATAAAATGGAAGCAGTGCCCAGAGATAAAGTGAATGCTATCAGAAGGTAGAGGTTTTACTGGCACAGGAGTTAATTAAAAAAACAAAGTTTTGATGATGGTTTGGTAAGAATTCAGTAGAGAAATTTAAGCTTCAGGAGGAGCAAGGGAAAGGGAGAAAGGAATCGTGAGCAATGAAACTTTAAAGCATTCCTTCCAAAGCCTGATATTCTTTGACCCTTGTCCAAAAGCCCTGGAGCCATAGTCACACTTGAAATGGTTCTCATATTCTCTGTTCACAAAAACCACTGGAGAGGGCCACAGCTCTTTACCAGAAAGTATAGTATGCATGGTTGAATTTTTGTGAAGACCTCACAAAGAGAAAGTCACCACACTTTCCTGGAAACATACTGATGCAGATCACACTTTATAAAATATTTTTTTTAAATAAAAAAGAATATAATTGCTCATTGAATTGTAATATGAATGCAAATTAACTTACTGTAATTACACCATGTAATTTTCTACTTTAAAAACTTAGAAAATGGAAGAGACCTGATAAGTAATTTGAATTGTAATTCTTTATTGTGCTCCTTCATTATGCAATGGTTACCATAAGCAATTTGTGTTTTAATGTAAAGTGTTTTTAGTTCATACCTTTATATTGGCAGAACTC